GTCTGGTCATCCCACCTGGCCTGAAACTCTATGACTACACTAAGAATTACTGGCAGGAACTGGCAAATAATTCAGACAACAAATTCAATCACATCATAAGCTGTTTACAGAGGCAGATGCTTGTCAATTAAATAAATTAATCCACCTGAGCTGAGAGGTTTGCCCCATCTCTACTTGTGGACTGCACAGAGTGCATAATGCCACATGTGCTACCAAATGCCAAGCAGCATCGCGTTCCTCCAGCAAGGTCGGTCACAGTAGCATGAGCAGGGTGTCAGTGCTTGGGAAGAATGGAACCTGTAGCTCAAACTGACACCTTTCCCATGAGCCCTCACAGCTAAGTGTCTTGCTTGCCGTGGAGGAAGGAAGCCTTTGAGCAGGAGGAAGTCAGAGCGTTATGCCCAGTGAAAGAGAAGCTGGTGTCTGGCCTGCAGGCTTGCTGATCAGTTGGCCGTGTGCTCTCTCTCAGCACCGGAGACACCCAACTCTGCGTGCGGACCCCCAAATGTGAATCTGATTTGCCGTGAGTTGACCCCATTCCGGCTTGCCCCACTCTAGTCAGCGTGCAAAGGTGTCCGCCTCTGTGCCCAAAACGATTTGAATTTTGCAGTTTTTAGCAGATGATGTAATAGCACATGACTGAGCATGAGTGCCTGGAGATAGTCGAGCTGGCCTGAGGTCAGACCTCTGGAGAGCAGCTTCTGGCATGTGGGAATTGCAGAGAAAAGGGATGTGGTAGTGCACTGGGAAAAAGAGCAAGCCTGAACATCTGCACTTTGAATAGCATCACAAGACACAAGGAGAGGTTTCCTACTTCCTGAAGTGCTGCTATGTGCATGACCTCCAGTCCCACAATAGCAACCCCCCTCCTATGCACTTGGGGAGCAGCCCAGATTCCAGTCTCATTCTCCATTGTGTGCTGGCCATTGTGCAGGGGGAAGCCGGGGAAGGGAGATCCCAGCCACACAGTTCCAGGAGTCCTGGGCATGCATGTTTCTGGAGGCAGAGCTGCAGTTGGTTTGGTGCGCTAGGATTTATGAAGCTTGGCTTCCTGAGACCCTCCCCTGTTGCAAGCTTTTCTTTTTTAGCCTGTCCAATTCAGAATGAATTGATGGCTTCCTGCTATTTTAATGGAAGCTTTGCCTGGGCTATTCTGGTTTGCTTTGCAACCAAAAATAAATTTGGAACTTAGGGACTGAGCAAATGCTAGCAGCTGTAGTAAGCAGCAGGCTGCTAGGGTTTGCTATGTCCAGCTAAGTATGGTAAGTGAAGGATCAGAGGTGCTGAACTGTTAACCTTCAACAAGTCCATCTTCTGATGTGAGGCCATCAGCTCTCCCAAGTTAAGTAGCCTCAAGACTTGGATGGAAGACCTTAGCCTGGCAGGAGGTGGTGCTAGGGACTCTGGAGTTCAAGCGAGCAAATAATTCACATTGCAGTGTTGCCAACCCTCACAATTTTATCATGAGTCTGGCAATATTTGATGTTTTTCTTACAGCCCCAGCTCCTAGACTCGTGTGAGTAAGTGAGAATCTCAGCTTTCATTTTTGTAACAAGTTTCTAGCCTTTCTAGTTAAGGAGAAAATCTTGAAAACGTGACCCAAATGTACCTACCCTAAAGACTCAAACCAAAAGAACTAAAATGAACCAAAAATGTCTTTTTTTTTTTAGGCCTGATTCATGATTTTTAAATGGTTGGGGTTGGCAATATGGCAACTAATAAGTTGATTATTTTTAATCTTTACTCTTTTCCCCCCTTTTCTCCAATTGTTCAGGAACACCTCATGCTATTCCTGAATGGATTCATAAGTATTGGTGAATTTCCTCTGTGAATAATTCTTAGTCTGCAGATTGCCCATAATTGGTTTTGTTACAAACTTCCGCAGTGTTGCCTAGTGACATAAGTCAGCTGGTGTTGTTTCTGTTATCTGGTTGCATGATTTACATTCAATGCACAGCACACATTGCAACAAGTGTGAATAAAGTTTCCTCACACGGAAAATGTAAAGGGTCACAAACTTGGCTGAATATAAATTCCCTTTTGAATTTGAATAGTTGCAAAAATATTTTCCATTATTCACTCATGCGGTGCTCATTCCTCCCAGGGGAAATCTGGGATTGACTGGCACCAGCTAATGTACATTTTTAAACATGACTATCTTTGTCCTCGTTGGGCGCTAAGTAGCATTTAACAGAGTGTTAATTTAAAGATTGCAGTTAACACATTTTCTAATGTTCCTCACTTTCCTGGAGTAGACAAAGATGGGATGTGCTGTGCCAATGGTCTAGTCTGTACTTACAACGCTAGGTTGATATAGCTGCATTGGTTAGGGATGTAAAAAAATCCATGCTCCTGACCAGCATAGGTACGGCAACCTAATCCCTAGTGTAGACGCGGCGTAGTTAAGCCAACCTAAGGCCAGGTCTGCACTACAGACATATATCAGTATAACTATGTCACTCAGGGGTGTGAAAAGTCCTGTTATACCTGTGCAATGCCTGTTGAAGTCAATGGGAATCTGAGCATTGTTGTCATTGGGTGGGGTGCTGGACAGGAGCAGTTCTTGCAATCGGATGGTTTCCTACAAAGCTTCCTTCCATCTCCTGATAGCTTTTGGGTATTTTTGTAACCAAGTAGCACAGCTGATCCTCCTCTTCTCGTGTGTATTTCCTGCAGGTCCAAGAGACATGCAACTATGATCTCCTCACTCCATTGGCTCTGCTCTTCTATTCTGCAGCTCTGTGTGTAAGTCCTAAAGTTTTTAACTGATTGTAACTTCAGCTTCAGGGACAGGCTGAGGATTGGAGCACTGCCCTAGCTGAAAGCAGAATAATGTTGTTATGTAAGACATAAGAACTGCCATACTGGGTCCATCTAGCCCAGTTTCCTGCATCCGACATTGGCCAGTCCCAGGTTTTCAGGGGAGTGTACAGAACAGGTCAGTTTTGGATAGATCCACTCCGGCTTCTTGTCCCAGCTTCTGGCAGTCAGAGGTTTAGGGTTGCCCTAAGCATGGGGTTCCATCCCTGACCATCGTGGCTAATAGCCGCTGATGGACCTATCCTCCAGGAACTTATCTAATTCTTTTTATAACCCAGTTATACTTTTGGGATATCCTCACCTGAAGTACTGTCCTCTGCCCTGGTCTTCTCATCTGGAAAAAGATCTAGCAGAAGTGGAAAGGGATCAGAAACAAGCAACCAAATAGCATAAGTCGGAGAAACTGAGAAGTTTGGGTCCATTTATGTTTAGAGAGGGGACGTGATAGAAGTGTACAAAATAAGGTGTGTATAGAAGGTGAATCTGCCCCATTTGCTCTGTCTCATAATAAATCAAACCAAGGGAACTTCTAATGAAACCCAAAGGCAACACATTTAAAACAGATAAAAGGAAATACTTTTTTTTCACACAACATATAATTATCCTGTGCAGTTCATTGCTCCAAGAGCTCATGGAGGCCAAGACTAAGCAGGATTCATAAAACTGTTAGGCATCTGAAAGGATGAGAACATCCATGGTTGCTAAGAATGTTTTCTTTAGTAAGAGGGAAACTCTCCTGCTTTGGAGTATAAGCCACTTAACTGATGGCACTTAGGAAGAAATGACCCCAACAGGCAGGTTATTCTGTAGTTGTCCAGAGAAGGGTTTCTTGAACCTTCCTCGGAAGCATCCAGTGCTAGCTACAGTCAGGGAGTGGACTGTACGACCTCTGGTCTGATCTAGACCGAGAGTTTTTTTTATTATCCTCCCAGCGCCAGCCCACATACCTGCTTTCCCATGATGCTAATGGCTGCTGAAACCTCCTCCTCTTTTACTTGGGCTATCGAGCAGCTAAGTTTGGGAGCCTAGTTTGGGACCTGGGAGGATCTGAATCTAAGTGGTGTCGGGGGGCAAGGCCGAAGAGGAAGGACAGGCCTCCATGACTGTGTCCTTGGCCCGCCTTGGATTGTAATCCTCTTGCTATTTCTATTTCCCCTATAGACTCCTCACTTCCCACAAGACTCTGACCTGCTTCTGAAGGCCATTAGCACCTACCACACCTTCCTTACCTGGCCTATGCCCTACTGCAACATCTACCGGGAGCTACTGACCTTCATCAGCGATGAACTCAAGGCCCCAGGTAGGAATCCAAATCGTCCATCGTTTTACAGATCCCTCTGACCCGTAGTCTTTGTGGTGTTGGGTGCAGCTAACTTAGCCTCAGAGGGTCTGAGTGAAAGTGACTGTTGTTCTTGCCAGAAACGCTCACCACAGTGGCCAGGTATGCACAATGTTCTCTCTGGAATTCTCCCAGTGTTGCTCTCATACACACACGCTGCGTTTAAATAAGTCATGCAAAGCTCAGGACCAGCAGCCATGCAGCAAATTGTGGGTCCATTTGCTACCATCTGCTCTGTGTTTTCCAATACAATTGTAAATGGGCTTTTGTCATCTGGGAGGAGCGGGCTGAGACCGCTGAACTCATTTCACTGATGCCCTAACACAGATTGGAAGCCAACTCTCCTCCAGAGGTGAAAAGCTGAATTGACACAGTTATGTTTCCAGGGACATGTGTTTAGCATTAATGCTGTCATGTAGAGGAACCGTATTGCATGGCACCGGACATGTCTCCATGAATGTTAAATTCAGACAGACATGCTGATCTCGGTGGATTAACGAAGCGGATGAGCATTTCCACTGCAGCCTCTTTGTTCTGGGGGTATCTTTTGCATGGTAAACCAGCTCTGGTTGCTCCGTGCTGCTATTCCAGCTAGCCCTGAACTTTGCTTTGAGAAGGAAAGTGACTCAGCGGCACAATTTGGTTATAACAGTGAATCCATTCATTCCCATCAAGGTGGCGTTAGTCTTTGAGTGTGCTGCTTTGTAAAAAATTTTCATACAGTTCCCTGGAACTCCCAGCCACTGCTTTGTGGCTGAGGTGCTGTCTCTGTGTAATTGGACTTTGGGCTCAGCTGTAGCCGAGACCTGCAGCATGTAATCGTATCTGTCTTTATGCAGTAGAATCATCTTAATTAGACTATGCAGGTGGATGGCCTATTGATTCCAATTAAGCAGCTATTCCAATTAAAAGAAGAGGTCATTTAAAAAGAGTCTTATGCATTAGGATGGGACGCAGAGAATCATTTTTTTTCAGTACTGTATTAGAACAGATTGTAGAATTTCACACCCATTTAACATCTGGTTAATTGCCACGTCACCCCTTGGCATCATTTGATTGCTGATGCAGGATTAGATGAGCTCCAAGAAGAGTTAGGGGACATGCTGTTGAAAACCTGTGTTGGCAACGCTCAGGCCATGTCTACACTAGAGACCTTACAGTGGCACAGCTGTCCCGATGCAGCTGCGCTGCTGTAAGATTTCCCGTGTAGCCACTCTATGCTGACGGGAGAGAGCTCTTCCGTCGACATAAGTAAACCACCCCCAACGATCGGTGGTAGCGATGTCATCAGGAGAAGCTCTCCCACTGACATAGTTCTGTGCACACTACCACTTAGGTCGCTCAGGGGGGTGTTTTTTCACATCCCTGAGCAACATACATTTTGCCGACATAAGTGGTAGTGTGGACACGGTAGTCTACACAGCAAAGTTTTACTGGCATAGCTATGAATAAATCACTCCCAGCGTAGCTATGCTGGCAAAACTCCCAGTATAGAGAAGACAGAAGAGGGCATCTGTCGGTTTAGCTAATGTTGTTTGGGGAAGCGGTGTAGCTATTGTCGGCAGAAGAACTCCTTCCGTCTGCCTCTGCTGCGTCTCCACTTGGTGTCTCTGCCATCCTAGGTGTACTGGCAAAGGTTCTGTAGTGTAGATGAGCCCTGAGGCACCCATCATTGCTAACACCCTATGTACTAGCGCAGACAGGGCCAAGAGGAGGCCCCGTACTCCAGAGCTGAAGTTCTCTGGGAGGGCAGTGGGGGAATACACTGTGTGCTTCTTAACTGTGACGTTACCCAGGGATCCAATTTCTGCTGGTGATAGTGACTGGCAACAACTGCAGGCTAATTATCAGCAAATTATCAGTATCAGCAAAGATTCTTCAGCCAGTGCCAAAGGGTTAAGTAGAGATTAACCAGGTGTTAAGTGGGGGTGAAATTTGAGGTACCAGAAATGGGGGTGGAGAGAAGATGCTTTTGAGGGAAGCAAAAGGATAAAAAAATATCTTTGTAACTGCCATCTAAACCACATCCCAGCTCAGAGCTGCCCTGGGGCCCTATGATGTTAAGAATAGTGCACTGATTGTATTAAGTGAGGTGGCAAATGAGGCCCAGCCAGCAAGGGGGTCTGGATACGTTTCACCGGTTGGAGCTCTCAGGCCCTCCCAAACAGGGGTTCCCAGTGAAGCAGCCCAGTGGTTGGGGATGGCCCTGGTCTACACTACAGAGTCAGGTTGACGCAAGGCAGCTTATGTCCGTTTACCTTAAATGGGCAACCAGCTCCAGTGGGTTCAGCCCCTCCTGGGTACTGCTGAGACGGTAAACCTGGCCAAGCATCCCCCACCTTTCCAAGAGGTCTCCGGCCCTTCCCTCTCATCTGGCTGGGCCTGGTCTCTGGAACGGCAAAGCCACATAGAGCTGGGCTGCAATTCTGCAATGTCAGAACCAGGGATGATTCAGAACTGGGTCCCATTTTATCCAGACCCCTAAAGTGAGGGCGAGCAGGTAGGAAATTGCTCTGGATTTGGCCAGAGAGAGACTGTGAAGGTCCCCAAGAAAGCTGCCTGGCTCCGGCGTTCTCATCTTGATCAGTTCGCCTAGGTCCCCTCTGCTGTGCACATCTCTGTGGCCATGGTGTTTCCCATACTGCCTGTAATGAGAACCAAACCCAACAGAGCAGGCTGCACTGGCCAGGAGACCTGCTGGTCCCCATAATGGGCACTGCTCCCATGAAAGCAAGTGATTGAGGACTCCAGAGGGATAAAAGGAAAAAGCATGAGGCCAGACAGTGACAGCTGGGGAACGGCACCAGCAAAACAGGGAAGTCTTCTGTAACTCAGTGCAGGCTGTTGGCCAGTTCCTGTTTGCTGCGGCGTGATGCTCGGTTGCATGGGAGCAGTGATGGGATGCATTGCTCAATGCTAAATTTCTGGCAAGGTAGGAAACTGCAGTATTCTCCGGGGGGCAGTGTGCTTTGGGAATGCCTTTTTCTGATTGACAGCCGGGCTGGGCTACATGCTTCTGTCCGGAGATGGTGTATTCTGACCCCGTTTAACAGCAGCACAAGTTCCAGTATCCTGTCGCGAAAGCTGCGGTGTTGGGATGGAGATTATGCTGATTTCACAGGGCTGCCTTTGCGTGGGGAGTGTATAGGGGAACAAAGACGTGCAGGAAGGCAGGGCTTAGTGATAACCTCCTCCTCGAAATGACAAGTTCTGTTTTAAAATGTCAGTTTGACGTGCCCTCCCCCACCAATCGCTTCCTTCATCTTCTGGGCTCTGGAGTTAACCGTTCAAAGCCTGCCTCTTCCACGCCACCAGATGGATGAAAGCTGCCGAGTGGTGTGTGCAGTATCCAGAGGATTAATGTTTCCCCCTCTGAACTGTGCGGTGCCCACCGGGAAACTGGGTTTGCTGTGATGACAAATCTAGTTTCTTCCATTCACGGGGGTCTCTCCTGCACCCTGGACCAGCAGGCGCGGGGGACGTGGTGCCAGTGAGAGGCAGACTGCAGAGTGAGGTTCAGACTGGGACGTTTGTCCTGCAGACCTGACCCCCAGGCTGGGGGAGGAGATGTTGGGGTGGCTTATGTTCCTACTGCTATGGCAGCTCCATGCACTCATGCAGCCGTGGGATCACAGGGGAATGTGGCAGTGCAATATGGAATAGGAGAAGGTGGTTGGAAATCAGTCCCAGGGTTAGTCCCAGTCCTGATAAAAAGTCTCCCATCTGAACCAGGTTTGGGTGCACTTTGTCCTCTGGACAATTTTGTGCTGAAACCAGGAAAGGAATTATGTCTACACAACAGATGGGAACCGTCCAATATCTGTAGTGTGGATGGGCTCTAGAAGTACCGTGTGGCTGGTCTGGTGATGCTATTGATGATGCTGTCCCTGAACTTCTGTGGAATCTCCCAGCCTCATCTCTGTGGTCCGTTATCGCTGTGACACCAGTTCAGGAAGCCTGTTTTAAACACAACTGCAACCCCCTGGGAGATCCCCAGGAGCCTTCAGTGCATCCTGCTCTCATCATTACACCACTGATGCCCAAGAATAACTTGGCTGGGGGCTTGGAGCCAAATTGCTCTTTACACCCTACAAGAAGGCAGATGGTTCGACAGCCATAGAAACAGATGAAGCACAGGGCAGTGCCGATGTGCCCCGATCGTGAGCTGGAAGGACCGCCTTCAGGGACCAGAGCCTCGTTCTCTCTCCATGGCACATCCGATCCATAGCCTTTCCACTTCCAGTTCGCACCAGTAACAGTGATGGCTTTGTGGAGATGCACTTGTCCATTGGAAATCCAGTCAAGACCTTATAGACTCATTCTGTTTGCCAGGCACTTCCGGAGCTGTTTGTGGTACAGTATCACCAGATACTGTCCAAATGCTTCAGCTTTCCTGGGAATCTTATGAGGTCAAAGCCAAGAGGTAAAGATTAAGCAAGACACAGCCGCTGTCGATATTTGCCAAGAGTTCAATAAACTTTGGTATTGTCTGAGAGCCTGGGTTGGTGTGGATTGTTCTGCAAAGCACGATCATTGAATGAATCGATAAACAAAACATCAGCTTGGATCGCACAAGCCGCCCCAGGAAATTGCATGGGAAGGCACCACTCCATCAGGGGACGCTGCTGCAGGGGCTTTATGAGGCCCATGTCTGGTAGCTGCTTGGTGTCCTGGCTGAAATGGATTTGGTAGGTCTCAGCCCACTTCCCAGGAGCCACAAATCCAGATCGACAAAGCTGTCGGCACACTTGAGACTCATTGAGGGTGGCCGGGTATGCCACATGGACTGAGTGCCCGTCTGGTGCTCCTGGTTCAGGGAGGAAGCTGTGTGGGGGAGGGGAAGCTTGCACAACTGCTGCCTGCATGGCAACTTGTTCTATGGACAAATAAAAAGCCTGTGCCCAGGGCTGAGAACGCAGGCGGGTAGGTGCTGAATTTGCACATACAACCTGAGAAGATTTTAGAAGTCACGTTGGGGAAGGGGGGAATGGGATGCAGGTAAGAAAGAGAATTTTGTCCCCTCTCCTCCCCCCACCCCAGCACCTGGGACCCCTAATTCCTAAAGCACGTTACAGACGCTGAATGAAATAAATGAGAGAAAATCATTGCAAAGTCTTCTCCGTCTAGTGAGGCCTCGTGGATGTCCTGGGGAAGCGAGTGGAAGCTGCGAGTGGTTGCTGGTTGCAGTTCAATAGTGCGAATCTTCCTAAGTGGCGTAGGAAAACTTTCCCTGCTTATTTTCCCCCATGACTGGTCCTATTAAGCCAATGGGATTGCCTCACTGGAATGGACAACGTCCTGCCCGCAGCAGTGACCCATGTCAGAGACGTCAGAGACAGAACTGTACCCTGGTGTAAAGCCCCTTATTTTATCCTGGTTCCCTGCTGCTGATCAGCTGGTGTCCTGAAGCCTGGAGAGCAAGAGCTCGTCTCCTTTAATTCTCCCTCGCCTGACTGTGGAGGTTGCTTTTGGGAGTCATGTGGCCAAGTCCCTCCATGGCACTTCAGAGAACAGTGATTCCCACTGACCTTGGTACCTGACTGTTCTCCACCAACCTAGAGACTGTTCTTGACACTGATATGCAGAGCTGCTCAGCACTGCTGGGCTGAACGTGGCTTCTCATGGACTGGTGCAGGCTAGAGCATAGACCGTGCAATGGGGAGAGATTGGTCAACTGCATGGTCATGTGATCCTGATGGCCTCGGCAGCCACCCGGCTGAGGCCACACATCTTACGCCTTAGCAGTGACTCACCTTCCTGGTCCCCGTCTGCTCAGCTGAAGGGGATCCTGGGGCACTGTAAATGAAGATTGGACAGAACAGTAGAAAACGTAGCGCAGGGCATGGTCTGGCACTGGCAGAGGGATGCGACCTACTGGGTTTTCTCTGTTGTGTGCCCCAGCTCTCCATCGCATTCCCTTGCGTTCTCTCGTTAGCTGAACGTAGTTTAGACTTGCCTTCAAATCTCCCTGGAGTTGCTCCAGCTTCATAGCTGTCTGCTCCCGGCTCTTCTGCTTGCCAACCTGCCTTTCAGATTTTGTGTCCTCATCTTTTCCCAACACGCCCTTGCACTCTGCTCCTGTGATTTCTCCCTCAGCCTCCTGCTTGCCACCTCCGTCTCTCCTGTCTCATACTCACCTCACACCCAGCCCACTGCTCTGACTGCCATACGCCTCACACTTCTCCTCCCTGCTCTGTGTGAGCTCCCCAACCTGCTCCATGCTTACGGGTGACCTTGTCTCCATCTCCTTTGGTTTCTATCCCATCACTCCAGCCTCTTGCCCATATTCATCCTTGCCTGGTCCTGACCACCCCTCCATTCCCTCTCCATAGCTCTCGCACAGTTGAAGTAGGGCCGGTAACTCACCGCCAGCATGACATCTCCTATCACTTCGCCGTAGGCTTTGTTCCCACCCCACCCCACACCTACCCAGGTACGATCGGTTCCACCTGGAGAGTTGGGTGAGCCTCTGAATGCAAGTTACCTCTCAGGCCTTGTCTAGATGAGGACTGAAGATGTGAAGTTAGCGTATGGTAGCTAATGCGTTTTAAAAGATCAGGCGCCCTCCTGGTCTTTACCTCGGCCAGTTCAGCAAATGTTAAAAAGACACGCTTGATGCCAGCAGTTTACTGGCTTCTCTTGCTCCCGTGTGATCCAAGTTGCTGCCGTCAGTGAATTGCTTTTCTCTTTCCCCACAGGGATTTCGTACCAAAGGCTGGTGAGGGCGGAGCAGGGACTGTCCATGAAGAGCTGCCAGAGCTCCACCATGTGAGTGCTGCTGTGGGGAGATGGAGGGGATCAATGGGGGTGGCTCAATGTGGTCTAGTAGCAGGTCTCCCTGGAACCACCACTGCTCTTTCCCAAGTGCTCATAATCAAGGGGCAGATGCCGAGCTAGGGCAAGTGGCCCCTAGAACATCACCCTAGATGCAGCTGCGGCTGGGTAGGGTTCAGGGGGAGAAGGGGCAGTGGAGAACAACGCCGAACTAATGGTCAAAGCATTTGGATAAAGTGGAAATCACAGCATTCCCGTAGCAGCCGTCCTGGGCCCTCTCCAGGTCCGGTGTGTGTGTATGTGTTTGCTGACGCCCCATGGTGGGAAATGCGTGGTCTTGACGAGAACAGGATGGGGAAAAGAAGGGGCTGATCCGTGCCTCTCGCCTAGAGAATGCTTGGTCTGATTTCCATGCGTTGGAGAGCAGAGAAGATCCAAGGTGACGTGCATTAGCCCGAAGGGATGTGGGGCAAAGGTCAGAGGGAGGGGAACAGCTTTGCCCCATCCCGGGCAGGAAGTTTGACAGGGTTCATGCTTGATCAATAAAAGCGCCGTCTCTTGACAAATAAACAAGCCAGCACATAGCCAGGAGTATGTGACTGAGACAGGGAAGGGGGGGGGGGGGGGGCTTATCTGGGCCTTCGATCCCTTCCTCCCCACGCTATCACCCTCATCTGTAAATATGAAAGTGTGAACACAGAGCTGATCTCTCCCTAGCTTGCTATTAGCAACAGCCGCTGGCTCATGTGCCCTTACTGTGCGCATTTTTTATTACGGGCTTGTCGGCATGCAAGTTGTACTGCTTTAAATATACCCGTGTGGTTAAAATGGTACAGCAGCATGCCTCCCAGTAAGGATGCAGTGATAAAAGCATAAAGGTGCTTTCTACCAGGCTAGCTATCCCTGTATGGGAAAGGGACTAAGTTATACTGGTATTTGGTGTGTTAATACCAGTGTAACCACATTCACACTAGCAGTTGTACCAGTATAACTGTGTAGGTTAAAAAAAAAAAAAAAAATCATACCCCCTAACCCACATATTTCTACCAGTACAAAATCTGTGTATAGACCAGGCCTGGGCGTTATACAAAGCCTGTGCCCATTGCCTGAGGCTGTGGGCCTATTGAGGCCCCGATCCTGCAAACCCTGCAGCATGTGCTCAGCTTTAAGCAAGTCCTGTTGAGTACACCGGGTCTGCCCACCTGCTTAAAGTTAATCACCTGCTTAAGCACTTTGCTGGACCAGGGCCTTAGCAATTAACATGCAATTAGAGGCTGCTGTTAGTATGTAGAAGAAACTCCATTGCCGTGCTTAAGGAGTGCCTCTGTTCCCCACCGGTCTGCCTCAGGCTGTGCGCTGTGTCCTGAAGGTTAACGACCTCTGCCTCTGGTGTAATAGCCGGGAGCCCAGTTCCAAGAGCAGGGGCCTTCCTCTGAGACCATCCACCCCAGGTGTTTAAATCTAGGGACTCTTAGTTTGAGCACCTTGGTCAATCTCTGCAGCAGCAACTGCACATTAGGAGAAAGACGGGTCTTGTATGGTCTATACCCTCTCATGCCATGGATACATTCAATCACACCTGGAAGCTATCAAGGATCTGGTGCATCTGTCAAGATCTCATGTGGGCCCGGTAGCCAACCCCATTAACCAAGATGCTCTCCCAAGGGCAAGTTTTGTTTTCCTTCTCTTACTCCATTGCCCTTTCTGTCCTTCCCCAATCGTGTGTGATCTGTCTCATTCAGACTGCAGGCTGTTTGGGGGAGGGACCTGATGTCTGTCTGATGAAAGGGCCGTACCGCTGTGTGCAATCACAACGGTCTAGATTTGGGCCACTGTCAACATACACTTCCTGCTCTGTGCCCAGCCTGTGCTTTGGTAAAACAGCCTGTGGCCTGGCACAGTTGGCAGCTTGTGCTGATGGGAAGCCCAGGGACCAGAGTGCTGGGGCCCATCTGCCAAGCACTGACAGGGCAAAGCTGGTCTGTAGATGTCATTGCTGACAGTGCATAAGGGTGCAGAGAGGGAGAGCTCGGCAGTGCTGTGTGTATACAGTAAACTGGGATAATGAGGTGAAGGGCTTCTCTCAGGCTCCATGTTCCTGTAATGTGGAAGGATTTCACCATCTGGTGAGTGGAATAGTTTGGAATTGATCAAATCCAACACAAAGCTCCCAAGTTCCTCTGCTCCCCAGGTCTTGCTAACAGTGCAACTATTATTTATTATATCTATTCCGATGTCAGTGTCCAGTTTGCAAGGGGCTGTTTAATTAACCCTGGAGGTGCAGTGAGTTGATTTTATCTTACGCTCACTAACCACCATCCCATGTTGCCCTTAGCACGGTTCTGCTACTCAACCCCTCTGAGGTTCAGAGCGAATACCTGTCTGTTGCCAAGAAGATGAGCACCACGGAGCACACCCAGCACAGCACCTTCGTCATGCTAATTGGACATATCTACCAGGCCACTTTTGGGACCAAGTGCGATATGGGCAGCTTACAGAACATCCTGAAGGTAGAGTGAGTCCTGCGTTCTGCATGGAGGCCTTTAAACAAGAGCAATTCTATCCCCGGCACACAGGGTGATTTTTCTGTGCGCTGTTAAGCAGTGGTCTCCATCCCAGAGATGGCTGCATTTCCATTCTGACCCTTGTGCAATTCACGGATCAGTTTGGTTGCACAGTGCTTCTGGGGATGCTGCATGAATGTAAATTGTCTCGTGAGTTGCAAGGGGGAGGTGAGATCTCGCAGCAGTTCAATTCAAAAGGTAGAAACAACTATTCATTCCCATTATTTTAAAATGAAACAATGGGAAACGGTGATGAATAGAGCTGGTTGAGTTGTCAATCAAAATTTAAAACAAAACAAAACGTGGTTTCAACAACGATTTCTCAAGGAAAAAAATGTGTTGTCATACTTTCTTTTGTTTAATTAAATTTAGAATGAAACTTTTAAAAGTACTTTTTGAAACTTTTTTGTGGTGCGGGGGGGGAGTCCCACTTTTTTCTCACTACTTTACTTCTTTGCCCTGCCCTGCCCTGCCTTTTCGTTTTTTTAACCCACTGGAAAAAAAGGGGGCAGAAGGCAAAGAAGGAGGGAGGGAAGAGAAGAGACCTAAAATTCAAAGTGAACAAAAATTCCCATTTTATTTTTTTAAAATAGTTCAAATTTCCCCCCCAAACAAAAAAAAAATGGATTTATTTGAATGAAATTAAAACATTTCCCCCCCCAAAATGTTCATGGGGGTTGGGGGGAGAAGGGGCATTCACTTAGCTCTGGCCAGGAGCCTTTCTAGAAGAAGTGGGTTATGCTTCATGGAGAGAGATCACATGTTGACAAGCTGTCTCTGAATCTCTGTGCTCTCTTTAGTCCAAGACCTTAGAAGAGCTCTCAGAGATCCATTCTCACACCACAGAAGCTCAGGAGCTGGCAGCTGTTACCAGCGACCCTGCCGCAGCCAGGGAACAGCTGCGGTCCATGCTGCAGGACATTGGGGCTGAAGCAGGCTTTCCTAAGATCACAGGTATGAGAGTGAGTGGGGTTGTTCTAATTTATACAATGTTCTACTTTTCTTTCTCTAGCCTGGTCTGTCGTATACGTTAGCTGCTCTATTTTGAGAGATAAGGAGTGAATGCTGTGAAGCATGAAATCCTTGATTGGACTACGTTTCAAAAGTAGAACAAAAAATCTGCTCTGGCTCACTCCCTGATGATGAGCTGGTCTTTGGGGGTTTTTTCTTGCTTGTTTCTTTTTCTGCACCAGAATCTCAGCTTTTATTTAAAAAAAAAAAAAAAGTCTCTAACCCTTATGGTTAGGAAGAAAACTTTCAAAACGCAAACCGATTGTAACAATGACCACTGCCTGGGTCTGCAGACAGCCTGAAATTATAGCTCTGAGAGCTCTGAACTGCCCCATTCATCTCAGAGTATCAACACTCATGCCTAGCAAGGATTGCTTTAAACGTCGATGTTGTGAACTTTTTCACTGCTGCTGAAAGCACTCTCACAAGGAGAATGCCTGGCTGTATGGTGAAGGTCTGCGTGATCGGCTGTGAGCGATGGCTCATTGTGGTGTCATGATGGAGTGTGGCATGGGTTGTGGGCGGAGTTTGGGAGTACCATTCCAACCTGATCTCTGGTCCCAGCAAGGCAGAGGGGCGGAATGGAGCACAAAGCGGCATCTTAGCCCCATTGAGGGCGGACAGAGTCCAAGGAGCCCTCCAGCTGAGCTTGGCAGAGGCTGTTTTGTTTAACACTTGCACTGTCTGTGGTGAGAAGCTTCTCAGGTTGCTGTCCTACATGGGTGGAACTCACTTTGTGGGAGGAGCTAGTGAGAATTCACTACTTTCTTTCCTCCACACATTCATCCCTGGCTGTTAGGATGAATGGCTGGTGGCATCATTTGCTGGAGAGGAGTGTGGGGGGGGTTACAAGTGGAAGAGGGGCCTTGATGTTGGGACTTTTCACTTTAGTTGACGCTTGCTTGCGCTGACTTAAACTGGCCCTGAATAAATTTAGGCTGGACATAAAAGACGGTTTCTAACCATCAGAGGAGAGAGGTTCTGTAATGGCCCTTCCAATAGGAGGGGAGGCGAACAATCTAAATGGTTTTGAGATGGAGCTAGATAAATGTATGAATGAGATTATGAAATGGAGCTAGATAAATGTATGAATGGGATTATGAGATGGAGGGGCCTGCAATAGCAGGGGACTGGACTCAGTCACGCAGGAGGTGCCTTCTCACTCTATGTTCCTAACTTGCCACTTGCTCTTCTCTCTTCTCAGGGGTGGCCCAGTCGCGTAAACTCCACACTGTCCCCATCCCCGTTGCTCGATGCTACACTTACAGCTGGGACAAGGATAATTTCGGTAAGGCTAAAACTCACCCACAGCGGATTGCCAGTTTGGCTGAGGAAGAACTCCCCTGGCCCCCATGGCACAGGCGTGCAAAGACAGCTGTATCGTGGGGAGTTTGACTTCCTAAGAAGCACGGGGCCAGTGGTGGAGGCAGAATCCTAGACCAGAGAGATTCTCGAGGCCTGATCTTGCAAACACACACGTGCTTAATTTGAAATGTGTTGAAGTCATTGGTGCTTCTCGCAGGATTAAAGTTAAGCATGTATGTGGGTGTTTGCAGGACTGAGGCCTGGCTCTGTGCTGATCTGGTACCTTCCTGTGTTCCTAGAATGTAGATAATGTCAAGAGAAATAATGGCCCTTGATACTGAAAATGTACGTTACTGGAACTTACCCAGTACTTCGATGGGACATTCTCTGGGGCAGGGGCTGCCTTTCGGTTCTGTCTCTGTACAGCGCCCAGTACAATGGGGACCTGGTCCTAGGTACTACCACTATACAGACAATTAATAATAATGCAATTGTAATAGGGTGGTGTGCCCCTTTAAGGGTCAGGGAGCCTGTGGCCAGCCAGCCCTGGCTCCTTATCAGACACAGCTGGGGAGAGGTCAGTGATTGCCATAAAGGGCTGAAAGGGCTCAGTTGAGGAGGGGGGCAGCAGGAAGAAAGTTGGCTCCTAGCAGGTCCTGGAGCACTGGGGAGAGACACAAGGGGAAAGGCCCCTGGGTCCCTGCCGCCTGCTTGGGTCTGGGAAATAACTCTGTGTTACTTGGCGAGTTTTGTGTTCAAATGAATAAACCACACCACAAAGCAAGGGTCTGAAAGAGACTTGGGGCGCTGCCTCGGCCCTTCCAGGGCTGGGCAGACAGGCCAGCTGTCCTACAGCAACTTTGCCAAATTGTAGTGGCCCGCTTGGGGGCAAGTTTAGCTCCCTTGGCGGAAGGCCACACCGGAGCTGGAGGTGTGAGTCCCAGTTTGAGGACTGTGCTAAAAACAGACGTTCAGCCGCCACAGCAGGAGGACTAGCCCCGCTGAGTCGGTGCCTATGGTCTAGGATGGTGTGACGGTCCGGGACTCACCGCTGCGCCGCCTCCTGCTGGTGGTCTCAGGGAATTAGCTCTCCAGCACTCGGAGCTCCCTCTGCAGGCCGGTGTCCCGCTGCCGCTGGCCCCCGTGTCCCTCCTGGACCTGGTCGAGGGCTGCCCCCTGGCAATACCCCCACCAGTCTCTGTGGGTCTCCCCTCTCTGGGAACCCCCAACCCTCTAATCCCCACCTTGCCTCAGTCTGGGCTACTGCCAGTCATCACCAAGCCCCTGCTCCCTGGGGCAGACTGCAGTGTAAAAGCCACTCATCATAGGCAAGGGGGTTCGGACCTGCTGCCTTCCTCTGCCTCCCAGTACCTCTATGGGCCTTGGACCAGGCCCTGCAGCCTGGGGAGTTGCCAGCCTAGAGCTCCCCTGCTCCTCTGGCCTTTCCCCAGCCCTGCTTCACTCCCAGTACCCTTTCTGCAGACAGCCAGGCCCTGCTCTCTCCCAGCCTGGAAAGAGACTTCTTTTAGGCCTCTGGCTCACCGCTTTTTTATACAGGCCAGCTGTAGCCTGATTGGGGCGTGGCCCAGCTGCGGCTGCTTCCCCAATCAGCCATCCCCAGGCACAGCCCTCTCCAGGGCTGCTTTTAACCCCTTTTATTTTAGGAGCAGGGTAGCCACCCCACTACAGATGGGTACATACTCGGGGTGGCTAGCCCCTCGCACTGCAGTGGCCATGCTCTGTTTTTAGCACACTAGCTCAATGAAAGCTAGTGTGGGTATGTCTACCCGAGCTGGGAATTTCACCTCCAGCTCCAGTGTGGGGCGTACCCTTTGGGCACCAAAATACTGGGGTTTTCCATTGTCCTCAGGGTAGGGTCAGGTGAGCAGGGTTTTTTTGTGCCTAGCCTGGTAATGTCCTCTCCCCTCCCCTCCATGGCAATTTTGCAAGCGAAGCTGCTACTTCTCTTTTACTCCCAGTCCCTGCTTATGGCAAATCTCTGTGTTTCTGTGCAGGCTGTGCAGTCAATGCCAGCAGGCCCCAATAAGCTACATCGATTCTGTCGCTCTGGAAAATTGTTGGCCCACCTTCTCCTCCCCTGGGCTTGTCTGTTTCATTCTTCTCACTGAGTACATTTTTGTCAGGGAGCCAGTCACCTTTAGGTGGCATTATCACTTTCCAACCTGGCTGGTTAAATACATTTTTTAATGGGGTGTGGCCATAAGTAGAAGAACAAGCTAACAATCCAAGTTGAAAGGAAGCGAAACAAATGTTAGTTTACTTTTGTGTTTGAAAACAAATGAAACAAAAACTTCCATTTGAAAGAAAACAGACTTTTGTTTCAAACTTTTTTTGCATAACAAATTTTATTGAAATCAAACAGTTTTCATTAAAGTGTTTAGATTTTGACAAAACTGCTTCCGCCCCACCCCCCACCAAAAACACTTTTTTGGTCAAAAAACATTGACAACCTCTGACAAGACAACTTCTGGGCACAAGTGCATTTGATATTAGTGTGGGACAGCCTCAGACAGGAAGTGATGGAAGTTCCACCACTGGGGTCATATGAGGCTGGACAAAGTACTGGAGAAAACACTGTAGAGGACCGTTCTTCACTGGCCCTAGGGTGGATGGGCTGGGAGGCCCGATATACCCCTCCCATCTTGTGTTGTTTAGGATTCTGTGCTGACTCTGATTCTTTCAGATATCCTCAGAGACATACTCGACAAGGAGTGTGATGTTCTCAAGCCGATGCTCTTGGAGGATGAGGAGGAAGAGGAGACGGAAACTGATGGCTGTTCTCCACAAAGAGACTCGCTCCTTTCCTCCATTTCAGCGGTTTCCAAGGACTCTGTGTACTCAGAGTTATCAGAGGAGGCGTCGAAGCATTCGCGGATGTCTCTCTTCACCACTTCCAAGGACTCCATTTCGGAGCTGTCGGTGGTCTCCAGAAGGTCCTTGAAGTCCTTTGTGTCTAGCCTCAAGGACTGCATGGACAGTGGCTATGCCGAAGACAGCGACGAGAGCTCTCTCGATCTGGTGGTGAGGCCAGACCTGAAAGAGGAGACGACACTTCACAAGCAGAGGCAGAGACTGACCAGCAAAATCTACAAGCTGTTCAAGAGCAAAAGCCAGTTGGTCTTGCGGAGAGACGTAAGGGACTATCCCGACACCGGTTCGCTCTCCCTGCCTCTGCGCCGGGCCGAGAGCCTGTGCAACCCGGAGGCCAAGCACCGCATCCCAGCGCGCTCCCGGAGGGCTCTTTCCTTGCCCCAGCACGTGCTGAGTCAGCGGCTCCCGCAGCGCCATGCAGCGCAGAACGTGTGCATCCAGCGCAGGCCCTTCCTGAGCTACGACGAGGACACCAAGGTCTCCACGCTGCGTGTCGTGGTCTTCGGGTCGGACCGCATCTCAGGGAAAGTGGCCCGGGCGTACAGGAACCTTAGGTGAGTGGGACGGCGCCAGAGGAACCTAGCTCCCATTCCTCGTGCATATTTACCCAGCCCTCCCACTACACGTCACCTTACGGAGTCCAAGGGCCAGAGCCTCCGCTGGTGTCAATGGATGTAGCTCTGTTGATGTCCATGAAAGGTGGGCCCAGATCCCCTGGCTGTGCCCCGGTGCAGACTGTGCTGTAAGGCGATGATGGGGGATTGGGGTCCCACTCTTAGCCTCCAGGACTGAGGCCCAGTGATGTACCCTTCACCACACTCAGTGCTGTCCCTTCGTGGTGCACGTGGCAGTGCCTTGTGCTTTGGTGTTGTGCAGATCCCCTTGTGTGACGCACTGTGCGAACATCCGACAGAAGGACGGTCCCTGCCCCAGAGAGCTTACAAGCTAAGTAAAGAGTGTTGGGCCGCTCCTGCGCTGTTTCCCTCACCGTGCACACGACTGTTTGTGTGTGGGCAGGGACCGCACGCGTGCCTTATGTACCTGACACTAGCCACACCTCATTCGTGCTGACACAATGGCCTCTCTCCCTCCCCCTGTTCTAGACTACAAGAAATCGATTGCCCATTACTGACAAGGTACTTCAAGCTGCAGTTTTTCTACATCCCAGTGAAGAGGAGCTGCCTTACCTCATCTGCACCACTGACACATCCGCCTCCTTCTCCAGGAGATCCTCACCTGAGAGCCTCAGGGCAAACGGTACGTGCTGTGCCTGCCGTCGGACCAGCTCCTAGCGTAGAGACCTGCCTGCATCGCACAAGCAGCGCCACACTTGGCCCTCACTGGTTCCCCTCGCGGCTGGCTCAGCAGAGGCCAAGTACTGAATAGGCCAAGGGTTGTCCTGTCCCTGTCTGTTCTGTAGGCAGCCTGCCCTCTCGATGGCCATTAGTGCAATACCTTCTGCCAGCTCAAAATTCACTTGCAGTAAGAAAAATAAATGAAATAAACCGGTCCAAGAGGGTATGTCTACACTGCAACTGGACACCCGCGGCTGGCTCATGTCCGCTGACTTGGGCTTGGGCTATAGGGCTGTTTAACTGCAATGTGGATGTTCAGGCCTGAGCTCTGGGACCATCCCGCCTCCCAAGGTCCCAGAACCTGGGCTCCAACCTGAGCCTGAATGTCTACACCACAGTTAAACAGCCACGTAGCCTGAGCCCTGCGCACCCAAGTCAGCTGACGTGGGCCAGCCTCAGGTGTTTATTTGCAGTGTAGACATCCCCTGAGTGACTCTGTCTGTTTGGTTTCAGGAGTCCAGCTCAGCTGGGGCACAAAGCAGCACCAACGATATCTCCCACTACATTGGGATGTTGGACCCGTGGTACGAGCGCAACGTTTTCGGGCTGATTAACTTGCCCACGGACGTCCTGTGTCAGGTATGTCCGGGAGCTCAGGAGGAAGTGAGTTTGGCTTTGGGTCCTTACCCCACTGCCCCTTTCCATGTGTTGACATGGGGCGAGGGGGGGGGTGTCTCTCCCCTTCATTTGGAGTATCCACCATCAGCTGCTAGTGTTGGACCAGCTGGGCCAATGGTCTGCTCCAGGATGGGTCTAGTTTTGAGCTGTCCTGCGAGATCCAGGTTGGGAGCCAGCTTGAGGCTCTCCTGGGGGTGAACGTTGCCTGCCTCTGGGGAGCGGCTGGTTCCAGCCTGACCCATCCTGTTGCTCTGCCTCTTCTGTGAGTCTGTTCACAGGACAATGCACTGGAGGCCAGCATCCCCATCACCCCTGCTGTGCATTAGGAGACTAACTGGCCAATAGGGAGACACTGGGGGAAACTCCAGGGCGCAAATTGTGTTCTCGCTGTTACGCCCCACATTGGTCACCCCCTGGGCGACAGTCTCAGCAGAGCGGCCGAGGAGGCTGACCCGGTCCCAGCAAGATGGGGTGGAGGTATGTCTGTGAGGGAACTCGCCTGGCCGCTGCACCTGTTCAAAGGGTTTTAGTCTCCAGGGCTGCAACTCCAGCACCTTTCCCCAGCACCCACGGCCTCCCAGCCCTGTGCTGAACAGCAGGTGCAGAGCGGGTTTTCATTTCACCTCCTTGTGCCTATGACAGCAATCTGCCAAACCCGAGGTGGAGCCTATGGAGGAGTCCAGGGAGCAGCTACCCATCTTGGCTGACATGGTGCTTTACTACTGCCGGTTCGCTACTCGCCCGGTGCTGCTGCAGCTCTACCAAACAGAGGTACGCAGGACTGGGTCTTTCCATCCCACCTTGCACTGGGGTTTGTGAGCACTTCTGTCTCTGCATAGATCAACTAAGGACTCCAGTACCAACCTCTACGAGGCAAAGGTCTCTTCAGGACTGATACGACCATGGTGCTCAAGGGTTCAGCCAGTTCCTCCCTGCACCTGGCTATTGTGGGCCGGTGAGGCTGTGCTTCCAGGGGCATGCACAGGAATTTAAATTTGAATGCTTTTGGAGGGGCACGTTAAACACACACAAATGAAAGGTTTGCGTGACCCCCCCACCACCATCATTTCTCTGGACGCCTCTGGCAGGGATGCCCAGCAGAGATTACTTGGCAGCAGCTCCCCCTGCAGGAGGCACTCTCCATGTCCCGCCAACCCTGACAAGGAGGAAGCAGCCAGGCAGCTGGCTGCAGGGTCCTTCCCCCCACCCCTACAGCTGCAGCCTGCTGCTTCTCCTTCCCTGCTGCTGGAGTCCCAGCGCTGCTGCCTGCTCTGCAGATGCCCACTGAGGTGAGTCAGGGGCTGGAGGCAGAGGCAACACATGGGACTCCAACAGCAGGGAAGCAGAAGCAGCAGGCTGCAGCTATAGGGGTGGGGGGAGGAGGAGCTCAGCCAGCAGCCGCCCTGTTGCTTCCTCCCTCACTGGGCTTCAGGAACACACACAGATTTTTGGGGGGCGGGGCAGCGGTGCCCCTGCTTGCCCCTCCTTGTGCATGCCCCTGTGTGCTTCCATTAGTCAAATCCATCTCCTTCTGCTTTATCACCATGGTAGAGCCTGCTATGCAATTGCCCCTTCCTGCATTAGCTAATGGCTCATGATGGACTGATGCCCCTGCTGATCCTGGTGATGGAGTGGGTGTAGGAGGCTCCTGGGTGATAAAGCTCTGCAGGAGCACCTATTAACCAACAGCGACCTCCAGAGAAACCGATCTGCTGCTGTTGTAGAATGCAGTGGTTCCCAGCTCCCTGGGGATGGTTGAAGTATAGTTCAGATCACACCATAAAGTCTCCAACCTCCCCACTCTGCTCTCTCCTGATACCCTGGTCCCTAAGAGAGATTGGGTGTCCCATGGACAACTTCTCAGCTAACTTGTCTTCCTTTCCCCTTATACGTGTGGCTCTCACCAGTGCTAACAATTACACACATGCTTTGCTTTCTGAAATCCCTGCCAGGAGCCTGTTCCCCAAAGCCTGCTCTGTCTGGCATGCAGAGATTGAGAGGGAAGGTTCTTGTCATCCTGGTGCTCTGATAACCAGGTGATGGGCGTGGGATGAATACGTAGGTAGTAATGGTAGCAGGCATTTCTCAGAGTAGGAATGCTGCTGTCGGGTTGCTGTGACGTGCACTGCTAGGATTTTCTAGCTTGAGGGGTTCTCTCTCCTTGCACTGCTTCATTTGAAGGCATTGTGCTATTAGGAATATGCTCGGCTTGCTCATTGTGCAGCGCATTCATAGCGCATCTCTCTCTTCTCCCCCTCCCCCAACAGCTAACCTTCATTGGTGGTGAGAAGAAGACTGAGGTCTTCATTCACTCCCTCGAACTGGGCCACTCGGCTGCCACACGGGCCATCAGGGCGTCGGGTAGGTATCAGATCTGGACACACATGTTTCCTTGCTTTCCTAAAGCCTCATGCTTCACAGGTTCTGTAGTGATACAATAGCAGCTTTAGAAATCTGGGCACAAATAGATTTGATGGTGAACGCTTAATAACCAGCTCCTTAGGGGCGCTAGAAAAACCCAGATGAACTGCACAGAGAAATCAGATTCACATTTAGGTTGGATTGCAGATGGCTGGGGAGAGAGTTGCTCCAATAAACTCTGCGGTCAGTGAGCTGGGATATAGAAAGCGATTTTTACAAACCTGGAAACTAAAGCATCATGAAACCTACATTTTCCCTTCTGTAACAGTCTTTACGATTTCTGCTTCTCAAAGACGTTTTTTGTTACTTTTCCCTTGATCCAAAGTTAATTTATTTTAGCATAGCTAAAAACAGGTCCTTTCCCCTTCATCGGGTCCTGGCACAGTACAGTGTCTTGGAAGCCAGCACTTCCTTTTTCTTTCTTTTTTTTTTTTTTTTTTTTTTTTGGCCTTTACTCTCAGTTTCTCTTTCTCTCTTGATACTTCAGTTATAAAATCTCTTGGTTATACTCTTGTAAGCCTTAATTAGGCAAAGGAAAGAAACGGATAGATTCATAGATCTTTTAAAACAGGAAATATTGTTTAGTAGAAAACAGCTACAACCACATACACACAAGCAGGCATCCACACAGCTTCAGTTCCAATTTTGTCTCACTTGTTTACCAGAGACCACGTTCTGTTTGGAGCTCTGTGCAGCACACAGAGACTCTAGCAAACACATTATTAATTTGTTTTTTCTTTTGACACTGATTCCTTTTCTGTGCCCTAACTTCCTCTTACTGTCTCCAAGCAGAACTTACAAAGTGCTCTCCATTTAACTAGTTGGCCATATCCCCATAACTATGGACTTAACCAGGTTATGCTTCAATAGTGAAACCCATCAACTATTTTCATCTTTAAACAGTTAGGGCATGATTTTTGAACTGGGTTTTGATGATGCAGTTTTGCACCCACCCTTTTGCACCTGCAATAATTTTGTCTGGAAAAAGCATCAGTGAACTTCAGGCACAAAATTTAAAGCCCAATTTATGATGGGTACAAATATGCAACAACAACAAAAAAGGAAGCCCAGCTGGTAAACCAGCCCTTTACAGCTTTGTATTTTCCCCAAGACCCAACACTTACCCAACAGCTCCTGCCAATTTAATTTCTTTTTTTCATTCTGTGGTGAGGTCTCCAGCTACTTATTGTGTTTTATGCTGAAAATCCCCCATTAGCTTATTCATGTGAGGCCGCTTTTAAGCGAACTATAATTTTCCTTTTTGCTCCTCTGTCACATTCCAGTAAAACAAGTGGGAGGCGTTTGATACAATGTAACAGGTTAACACTGATCCCCTTTATGTTGCTTGGCCATCATGGGTATACTGAACAGCATGTTTTGACAAAGAAATGATTTCTGGAAGTGGGAATGGGTGTCTGGCCTGGGATGGAATAGTAGAGCCCCATAAGACCAGGGTTCGAGTCCTGAGGATGGTCTGAAGTAAAGTATTTGGTGGTGTTAGCTCTGTCCTTAATAGGCAGCAGTCTTTATCAGCCAAACCACCACACGCAACGGGAGGGGTGACTGGTCTTTCCTCTGAACTTGTTCGCCCATCTGTAGTGATGCCCCATTCTGCTTTGTAGCAAGCCGACGTACTCTAAGGCCACTTGTTCTGCGGTCACCATGACTTGAGAGAGAGCGAGAAGCTGAACTCCTCAGAAACGGGGCAGCTTTTCCTAAGGGAGGGACTGGTGTGAACATGTATTGAAGGGCGGGGAGAGAAAAGGCTGTTGTGTGACTTTAGCTTCTGTTTGTATTACAAAGGTCCAGGCAGCAAAAGGCTGGGAATAGACGGCGACAGAGAAGCAATCCCTCTAACACTACAAATCGTCCATAGCAAGGTAACTGGGTGGTAGTCCAATGGGGACAGAGGCTGCAGGAACTTCTTCAGCATTGTGTAGACCTCCACTGAGTCAGAGATTTTAGTAGGGTATATGAAGAAAATCTCTTTAAGTGGAGAGAGAAATAAACACAACTGAGAGAGCTACAATGGGCATGCTTAGTCTGAAGAAGAGAAAGCTGAGGGGGAACCTGATAACAGTCTTCAAAGGGATGTTCTAAAGACAACAAAGAGAAAGTGATCAAATGTTCTCCATGTCCACCAAGGGCAGGACAAGACATGATTGGTGTCGTTTGCAGCAAGGGAGATTTAGGTTAGATATTAACCTAAAGCACTGGAGCAGGTTCCCTAGGGAGGCTGTGGAATCCTCGTCATTGGAGGTTTTTAAGAACAGGTTGGACAAACACCTGTCTGGGATGGTCTAGCTTTGGTCCTGCCTCAGCATTGGAGGATGGACGAGATGACCTCTTGAGGTCCCTTCCAGCCCTACATTTCTGTGATTAGGAGAGTGTGTTAATATCAGTTGATGGGGGATGGGGGAGAATATCTTGTGATTCAGGGTGGAAGCTGATCTTTCCTCTCTGCAGGGTAGAGAAGGAATCCCTCATACTATATTGCCGAACAACCAGGTGCATCGTGGGGGGGGTTTGCCTTCAGGTATAGGTCGTGCATGGAGAGGGAGATCTGACAGGCTATCATGTCTGGGAACCTGGTTACAACATGAATATGTTTTGAAGTGTAGACAGGACTTTAAACTTAATACTGAGCTGTGGTACAGCCCTGGAGAGTCTGCTGTAACCAGGTCTCCACATATTCTTCCACTTGCAATGCAGAGAGGTTCTTTATGGCCATGTTGCCTGATAAGGGGGATTCTTTGAGTTAATTGATTCTCCCTGTTGGGGCAACCCTGGGTTTAGCAGGCCAATGCTCAAACCACTGAGCTATCTCTCCCCCCCCCCCCCCCCCCCCCCCCTGTGTTTGTTTCTGGAACATGAAGGGAACCTCATCTGAGACCAAAAGAAACCAAAATGAGGTGATGTGTGAGGCTCTGAATTTCTGAAGGATAGTGGCAATTTGCACTCTTCTGGCACTTGACAAACCCTAACAGTGTTTGCTGCATTTCAATAGATCCAGCAAATTACTTTGACCCGTGCTTGACATTAAGCCCATGAGTTGGCTTCAGTGATCTAGTCTGGTGCTTACAGTTAAATGTGGACTTAAATGCCTTGCTGGATCACAGCCTAAATGAGCTGAAACCACTTTGACTCCCTGTCCTTTACTTTCTGCTTCATTTATTGGCATAACCAATGGTGGCCTCCAAGTGAGCAGGAAGTGTGGTAGGCCCTATATAAATACTGGCTCTTATTTCATGCTGGTGGATTTCCTTACTAAAGTAGTAAAAATCCTGAGAACAATCTCCATCTGCTTATACCAATCCTGTTGTTGCCGATTCAGCACCCTGTTTGGCTATCGAGCTTTAACCTACTATTGGAATGAATGGGCAGCTTGGGCATCTGGTAGTTTGAGTGCACAGCAAGTACATTTAACTGCTGCTAAAGGTACCAGGACCATCCAGCTCAGTGTAAGTCCAGTTCTGAGCTATATCAGCAAGAAGGTCAGAGATGAGCAGAGCAGTATCAGGGTGGAATGTGACCCGTCTCTCTGACTTTTGCCTCGTCTCTGTAGACAGCAATCAGTGGAAGGAGCCGCTGGAACAATGTTGAAAAGGTCTGCACCTCCGTCAACCTCAGCAAGGCCTGTAAAAAGTACGAAGAGTTAGGTGAGTGCTGGTGCCCTTAAACCTTTACGTGGGGCAGTGGGAGAGGATGGAAAGTGGACAGCGGTGGTGCTTCTGGCATGGTGAAGAGTGTGTGTGTGTGTGTGTGTGTGTGTGTGTGTGTGTGTGTGTGTGTGTGTGTGTGAGAGAGAGAGAGAGAGAGGCAGGAGAAGATATTAGAGATGCCCTATGTGCTTCGGGGCAAAACAAGCCTTACCATCCTGATTCAGGTCCCCTCCACCTTTAAGGCCGTCTTCAGGGATGAAAGGGCACTGCACTCTGTTCATTCCACTGAGCCTTCCCCCAAAGGGTGCCATATGTGGCTCTGAGATATGAATGTCTCTCCATTGGGAACTGGATTGAGACCAGCAACTCCTCTCGTGCAGGCAGCGGAACAGCCATCAGAGGGTGGCGACCTTCAGTCTGTGCTGACCCGATCTGGGATGAAATGGTTCACAGAGGTGAAAGCTTCTGTGTCCCATTAACAAACCCCAGAGCCAGGGCTTAAATATTGTTTCCAAAACTATTCTGCATGGTGGACAGGTGCACATGGGATAAACACACCGCACGCCTAGGACAGGCAACAAAGGCCAGGAATGGGATGGTGCATAGGATCGGGGCATAGATTTTCCTAAGCAGGTTTTTTTTCTGCATGTTTTGTTGGTTGAAATGTTGTGCTGAGAATAGTTACATTTGTCCCTTAGTAAGAGCCCTGGATTCGGACCCTCTGCCCGGCTGGCAGGAAGAGCCTGTGGAAACCTGGGGAGAGGTTGCAGGCCTGTTGGCTAAAGCACTTGACCCAAAGCTCTGCCTGGCCCTGGAATAACTTTGTCTAGGGTCCTTGGAATGAACTAGACCTCTGCTGTGTCCCGAGGGAGGCCCAGGGCTGGCTGAGGGACTACCGGGTGGAGATGTTCCAGGGGTGAAATCTGCCTAGTAGCCATCTCCTCACCATCCCTGCCTCGCTCGATCTGAAGGGACCTGACCCATATCTGAGAAGGAGCAATTCAGTGACACAGTCCAGAGCCTGCCACACTGCCTGTCACTCAGGTGGGCTGCCAGAGGGGAAAATGGGACCATCATGGGAACTGCCAAATTAGCAGAGGGGCGCGGTGTCCCTGAATGCATAGTCGTTTCTGTGACCTTCCTGTGCAGACTAACATTCCTCCCCTTCATGGCAGCAGCCCTACAGCAATGGGGGGCCTGGGCCTATTTCGCTTTACTTCTGGGTGTCCCAGCTCACATCTCAGCCCACCGCTGTGGCTGGTGCGGCCAGGCCCATTCCAAGAAGAACGTGCTCTTGGTGTTGCCGTTCAGTTCCTCTTGTGCGGCTGTTCATCCCAGCCCACTTAAGGGACGGCCAACCTAGCAGCCTTGGTGCTGTGTTGCTGAACTGCTCCTCCGATATGGGTCAGGTCCCTTCAGGCCAAGGCTCAGACTCCATGTTACTGAAGCAGCTTTTTTGCCCTGGGAACATGAAAGTGTTGCTGATGCAGGGGGGGAAAATATAGACCACACCAAGCTTGGGATCTGCCCCGCTGGTTATGGCAGCTAATTAGGGGGTTGAGCAGTATCGCTTCCACAAGAGCTGTAGCGGAAACTCACTATGTCGGGACCATTGGACAGCGTGTCTGGCCTGTTCAGTGCAGGGTACGAAATGTAACGTACTGGGGATTATAACACTCAGCTCTGTCCTGTTTTCAAAGCCAGATGGAACGGTAAATCCATCTGTACCTTACGCTGACAGTAGCTAGCCTGTAAAACTCACTGCCAGAGGATGCTGAAGCCAGAGTTTAGCAGGATTCAAACTGTATCGGACCGGGATCTCTCCAATAAATAATATGAATAGTAACCTCATGGCTATAGAAGCAACAGCCTGCTGTCTGGGGTTAGGGAGAACTTCCCCTGTGGAAGTTTGCATAACGTTCTCCACTCCAGAATTTCTTGTGCCATCCTTTGAAGCAGCTGGCACTAGCCACTGTTGAAGGCAGCACGTTGGACTCGGACCAGTAGTCTGACCTAGTCTAGCAATTCCCATTAGGCAGAGCTGTGCTCTGGTTCACCAAAGGTGGAGGTGGGGCTTGGTCCAATCAACCCAGAGCTTTGGGAGGTGTTGGAAATCCAGAGCTTCTCTGATCTTTTGCCAAGAGCTGGGCTCGTGACCCTGGGTGAACCCAGCCTGAGTTTTGGGGTTGTACCAAACATGAGTCCTGGTGGGTTTGCCCTGGTTTGGGGTTTCTTCGCCAAAGATGACCAGAGCAGGAATTGGCTGCGGTAGAGAGGTGGCCATTGGAGGCTGCACAGCACCTAAGCAGAAGCACCAAAGAAAATAATGCTCTTGTAGGTGCAATGTAAGGACCAGGGAGACATGCGCTTAGGCTTTTATCTGTCTGTCCTGCCGTCCTTAGCAGCTGAGGCTCCCCAGTAGCGTTAATAACTGAACTCCCAGTAGGCCAGTGCTCTCATTTCCTCGCTGCTCCCCCGCGGCAGTTGGGTCTGTGTGTTTGTTTTGTTGGTTAAATTTCTTCCTTTCTTTAGACCCCCGGTAGTACAATGTGCCCTGAGCCACCATGTTAAATGTTTCAGCACTGTAGCCTTCATAATGAGAGGTTATGGCTCTTCTTTTGCTTGAACGCAGAGCTGCTTCAGCAGATTCGCTTGAGAAGATCGTGTATTATTCTGTTTCACTAAAATGCTCCATGTGATGCGCCTGGCACATGTAAATTTGCTATAGAGGCAGCAATTGGGACCAACCATTCAGATGGAGCAATAGCCAATGAACTGGCGTTTCTCGGAGCCTCTCCATCTAAAACTCTCCCATCAGCTCAGACACCTCCCTCCCTCCCCCTGGAAAAGCTGAAGCGTTGCTATCACTTATTTTTTGTTCACCACCACCACCACGTAGCAGGCTGCAAATATTACAAAGCTGTATATTTCTGTTCTATTTCTGAAGCTTAACTTGCTCATCTGCCTGCAAGCTGAGTTCATTCTGGGTGTCTTTCTGCAGGCTATGAGATGTCTAGGGAGAGCTTTTCCCATCGCATTTGAATTCCCTACATGCCACAGAAATCTGGGATTATCTTTCACATTCACTGCTCTGGCCACAGGATGTCACTGCAGCTCCAGACACCAGCTGCTCACAAAATAGCTGAAAGGTGTCAGGCCTTCAGTGAAGACATGAAAGTTTTTAGGTCACTTGGCCTGCACCAGCTATTGAGGGAGCTAGAATTTGTTCCAGCCAATGTTGCAATTGTCTCTTTTGTAGATCCAATTTTTTTTAGCCCTTAATGAAGTTAATTGGCTTTTGGGGTAATGTTTGTAAAGCTGGATCATGTTTGAGGCTGGATAATGCTAAGTATTTCTGCCTGCTTTTCTGGTTTTCTCTCTCTGTCTGGGGGGAGGGAAGGAAGGCTGGAAGGAATGGAAGGAACATCTGTTTGATTTAGCTCAGGCTGTATAGCTGGAGGCTGTTGTAGGTGGCAGCAGAGCAATCTCTTGTTTTGTGCCCTTCATTCAAAGATAGCTAATTAACTCTGTAGAGCTGGGATTTGGGATCTTGTGGCTCACAACTGTCCTGTGGTGTCTAGCTGGGGATTTCCAATACAAACACACAATAATAATAATACTAAGCTCCTGTAATAATCTCCCTTTCCAACAGTCAGATGGCATTTTAAGGCTCCATGGTTGTATGGGGACCCCTGGACTGGCCCATTCAAAGGGGTTATCAGACTGAGGGTAGCCCTCCGACTATCTGGTATGGGCTAACTTCTACACTGCTTTGAGTTGCAGGTGTATTTTGGATATTGTCCTCGTGCAATATCCATCCTGACAGCATGACGGATCCTTGTTAGAGATACTTGGTGGAGAATGGGGTCAAGAGATCCCTTCTTGACTCTCTCCCCCTCACCCCCATCCCTTCAGAGACTCTGAACTTTGCTACCTGCCACTGGCCAAGCAAAGCTGGAGGCGTGGCAGTTCTATGCCTTGGGTGCCAGAGAGACCATTTCAATTAAAATCCAAATCCTTTCGAATAACCCAAGCAAACCCCCCTCTCCTGTGTTCCAGACTCGAAAACGGAGTGCCTGACTTTAACCATAACTGAGGTCGTCAAGAGGCAAAACTCCAAGTCAAAGAAAAGCTTCAATCAGGTAAGTTGGATTTGCCATATTTGTATCCTCGTCTAGGCTGGCAAGGAGGGAGTAACTGTGGCTCGCTCGCTGTTGGGGGAGGAGAAGGTTTGAGAACTTCGGGGAGGCCAGTAACTTGCACCCGGATCCCATCACAGTTGCCATCTCCATGAACTCTGGAGCCCTCACTTCCAGACTGGCAGAAAGGCCCTGCATGTGCCTAGCCATGGCCTGTATTTGCTGTGCCAAGCAAGCCTGTGCAGCCGCAGCTGAGTCTCGTGGCTTAGGGAGTCCTGCTTGTGGTAGCACCAGTACAATGAGAACTAGGATGCCAGGTGGCAGAGGGAAAACCCCAGGCAAAGCTGCAGCTGGAAGAGTTCCCTGTTGTGTACCCAGGGCCGTATCAGCACCTGGAAGTCAGGCTGGCATGTGCGTCCTGCCAGCACAGCAGGTGTTCAGGGAGCAATGCACTGCTGGCTCTGGCCAGCATTGGTACGTGAGCTTGTCGGGAAGCTGTAGGGAATAACTGCTCCGTGTGATGGCTGACGACTTGGTCTGTGAGCAGTCGTGTGTTGGGGGCCTGGGATTTGATGCTGTCTCTGGCAGATGTGGCCTGAGCACCTCATAGTTCCTGTGGAAGTCCATGGAAGCTATCGAGTGTTCAGCACATTTGAGAACAGATCACGTACGCAGGTGCCTAAATATGACCGAGGGGCCTTATTATGGGGCCCCTTCTCAAAAAATCTTGCCCACTGTATTTTAAACCGATCAGTTACTTTAACGGCCTGGAAGGGAGAATCTGAGCCCTCTCTGCCTCTAGCACCCAAATCCAGCTGTGTAAATAGATAGCTGTGTAAATCCTGCTTTCAGAGCGTGTTCCAAGGCTGGGTAGGTTCCTCTGTGTTAGCGTGTGAGGCCAGCAGTTTAAATCCCAGAAGAGGCCCTTGCTCGTAACTGGGGACTCTAGAGCTAAGAGAACGAGCTGCTACAGCTTAAGCTAAAGGACGACGTCCCCAAGCAGGCAGCTTAACAGACTTGTATCCTCAGTGGACTGGCGCCCCCCCGCAGTGATGGGTTACACCAACATGGACACCCAGTCTAGTGTGTTATTTTAGAGTAAGGCAGACAAATGTCTCCATGCGTACGTGAAAGTCCAGGGTGAGTCTCTTACCCCGTGAAATCCTCCCTCTTGAATTGCCTCATAGCCCTGCCCCTCCGGGGCCAAGCCCTGACATTAAGGCCATGTCTACATTTGGAGCTGGGGCTGTGAGTCCCAACTTGCATAGACGTACTCGGGTTAGCTCTCATTGTGGTGCAGCTGGGGTAGCAGGGGCCAAAGTGAGCAGTGGCACGGGCTAGTCACCGCAGTGCATACCTACTGGTTTCAGGCGGGTTTGTGTTTGGCACAGCGAGCCCGTGACACGCTGCTGCCTGAGCTACCGCGGCTACACCACTAGCTCGAGGAGAGCTAGCCCGAGTATGTCTAGGCAAACTCTGAGTGTAGACATACCCTAGAAGGCGCAACATACAGTGAATGGGATCCTGGCCCCTGGCTGCACATGCCACAAGGCCAAGCTGTGCTGGCTGGAGAGCATTCCAAGCCTGACTCGCGGTGTTTCTCTCTGTCTCTCGCAGCAGATCAGCGTGTCCCAGATAAAAGCAGACAAGGTCCAGATCATTGGGGTCAACTGTTCCTTCGCCGTGTGCCTGGATCAGGATGAGCAGAAAATCCTGCAGAGCGTCACAAGGTAGGAAATGGCCAGCATGTCTCTCTGCGGCTGTGGCCAGCCTTCCTCTGGGGACATGTGCTGTAGGTAAGGCGCTCCCAACGAGTCATGTGAGCCCTGAGGGGACTAACCCCCCAGGCCTCCCAGACCCAAATGTGCTGCTTACACTTCTGAACCTGTGTGGACTGTCTGTGGCCAACGCTCCATTAAACATGCATCCGAGGGGCTAGGTGGCCTAAATGGGGCTCTGCACTGCATAGCAACGCTGCAGATCATGAGCCCTGGCAGGAGCCACGGTGTCATTCAGATCACGACAGCCATGTGCAGACGTGGGTACAACTAATACAGCCAAGCAGGAGCGGAACCTCAGTCCTCTGTCCCAGGATGGATTCAGCACCAAGGCACCCTGCTGTTACCAACAGGTCTCAGTCCTTATGTTGCCCCGCTCCAATTCTGCTCCAGGCTGGAAACGCTGGGAGACTGAACTTTTACCAAGAGGTTGAAGGTTTGAAATAAGATCTCCAGTTCCTAACATTCAGTCACCCACTTAGGGGTACAATGCAGTCAAGGATCTCCAAGCAGAAAGAGATCTTCCAGCAGGACTAATCAGTCAACCAGGGGAATTCAAGGCACAATAAATACTGTGACTAGTGACTGTGCTGAGCATATAAACAGAGCAGACAGCTTCCAAACCTTGCATGGATTCTGCCCTGGTATTGGGTACCCATCCCAGGTAGTCCACATGACCTTTAGTGGGGAGGTTGTGGGGGGAAGGGGAAAAGACAAATGCCTGTCTGTCCATGAGTATAGCCTAGGGCAGGGGTCAGCAACCTTTCAGAAGTGGTGTGCCGAGTCTTCATTTATTCACTCTAATTTAAGGTTTTGCGTGCCAGTAATACATTTTGACGTTTTTAGAAGGTCTCTTTCTATAAGTCTATAATATATAACTAAACTATTGTTGTAAACAAGGTTTTTAAAATGTTTAAGAAGCTTCATTTAAAATTACATTAAAATGCAGAGCCCCCCGGATCGGTGGCCAGGACCCAGGCAGTGAGAGTGCCACTGAAAATCAGCTCGTTCCATAGGTTGCCTACCCCTGGCCTAGGGTATCATCTCTAGTGGGGTATTTCTCCTCCTCAGAGAGGACCAAGCTGTATTACCAAGGATGAGATCAGATGACATGACACAGAGCAGTGCATTTTCACTTGAGCTCAATACAGGGGTAACTGGGTGAAATTCTCTGGCCTGTGTTAGGCAGGAGGTCAGCCTAGATGATTGAATGGAATCTATGAACATTTAAATTGACTGTAAGCAGTGTTGTAGCCATGTCAGTCCCAGGATATTAGAGAGACAAGGTGATTGAAATAATATCTTTTACTGCACCAATTTCTGTTGCTGAGAGACAAGCTTTGAGCTACTCAAAGCTCTTCCTCAACTACTTATGCCCCAGCTCTTCTCTTAATTCCTTTATTGCTGCAAGATCCAAAGGCAATCATTTAAAACTTTGATACAGAGAATGCAAAAGAAAAAGTGTTCCACACTTAAATTCAGGAAATGCAAAAGTTTTGTGTTGTATTTTTTTTTAGGGTGTACATTTTCAGAAGTGCCTATTGATTTTGGATGCCTCTGCTTCTGGGTCCCCAGTCTGAACAACCTTAAAGGGGTTGGTTGGGCAGGTGCTCAGCACTTCTGCCAATCAGGCCCCTCTCTGAGGGTGCACGTGGTCCCTGTAACTTGAATTCCATGGCATACGTTTTTATTGCACTCCCAGCCTGTCCCAGCTGTGATTTCCATTGCTCATTTTATCTGCAGGTGCGAGGTCTCCGCGTGCTACAAACCCAGGGATGGTGAACCCTGCACACTGAGGACATCCCCTTTGGATCACCTCCCCCAAGACCAGCCTGAGTTTTGTTCTCTTCTGTGCTTGCCCATTGCCACCTTCAGCGGAGCACTGCCATAGAAGAACCAGCAAGGCCAGGGTAACCTCCCAGGCCCCATGCCGCCTCAGACCAGACATGCCTCCAGCCAATCCTGATAGTTGCAAAAGCAGCCCCTGGAAGAGGAAATGTATTGCACTCCCTTGAGTCAGGGAACTAGAGCTTCCTGCACCCAACCATCTTGCAACATGAAGCATTAGTACAATGGATGAGCTACCCCTGGCATGTGTTTAGCATGCCCTTGAGAAATGGAGGGATCACTTCAAAGCTCTGGTAGCTGTCACAGTTCATGGCCTCTGGGAGGGAAGTGGGTTCCTTGTCATCTCCAGATGGCACTGCCATTAGCGGGGTGGGGCAAGGAGAGGAGTGCCACTTTCCTAATCAGCTGTACTTGGAGTGAACTTGCAACCAGTGTAGATACTGGAGAGACCATGATAGACGGTTTTGGGGACACACAAAGTTAACGAGTCTCCTTAAACAGCTGGAGAGTTTCAAACTAACCTCCAGATGATGATGCTTCACCCAAAGCAAATTTGAAGATCTCTGTTAATGTTACAAATTCTTTGGAGTCAGGGGACAAGTTTACTTTGAATTATTTTGGGGCTTATTTGTCCTACAACCACAAAGATGAGGGCTGCATTTAGGGCAAGGAGGAGTTGAATGCGGCTTGCAGACCATGGCTTGGGTGCCAGTGATCTAGTGCAATAGGCAATTTCTGGGCATACATTGGTCTATGCACCGTGTTACAGTTACTGTAAAGCTAGGTCACCAGAGTGATCAACCTCTGTGTCCTGCTAAGTCTCTGAAAGCACAAATTCTGGGGGAGACACAAGCTCCCTTGTTCAGTTAATGCTCCCGTGGCCAGCTTACCTGCAGTGAATGCTGGGTTAGAAACACCCTGGAGAAGTGAATGTATAGTGCCAATGGAATTGCACTCACAGTTCGGGGGGAGGGGGGAGGCAAGTACTGGGGAGGCCACAGTATTGAGGGGGGTCAAGTTTAAATATACCAGAGAGACAGCTTTGCTGCAGAAGGCCCTGGAGCCAAAAACACTAGGGACACAGCGGTTATAGGTTGCCGAGCCCCCTGGGAGAACTCCTCTCTCCAGCAGGAGACAGTTAACTCCCTTCTTTCTTGTTAAAAGGCTCTAGGTGCAAGGTGCCAGGAAGATGCAATGGCTGTGGGTGCAATCTGACCACAGAAGCAATGGGAGGTGGAACAGCCTTGTTTGCTACTCTTCACCGCAAAGCTCTATTTATTAGCGTTGGTTGGCTTACTGCCCTGTTACTAACACGCCAAAGCACGCATGCTTCTGCTGCCTCACATGGGTGCAGGCAGTTCCGAACACCAGGGTGGGCTCAGTCACCGGCTAAAATGCCCTTTTACCAGTCCAGAAGGGGATCACTGCACCTTATCCTGTCACAACAGTGTAATCTGTGATCTTGGCATCCAAGGCTAAGTAGATCTTGCCCCATTAACATTGTAAACACTGATGCTTTCACGGGCCACACAAAAATATTGGAGAGCAGAATTTCTCTGTGATAAAAACAAGCACAAAACTCTAGGAATATATAACCCCATTAAGGATTTTGGGCCTGCAATGTTTTTTTTTAAATGATAGAAACTCATTTCAGGTTGAACTGTATATATGTTGGACATCAGCAAGTTTGTCTGTCTGTGATCATTTGTAAAATATTGTTCAAAGAACTTTTTAAGAAAACTGTAAAATATTAAATGTTGATTTATTTCAAGAGCAATGTGAGTGCAGAGTTTGTGTACTCAATAAAACATGGTGCGTGCCAAGCAATTCCTGATCCTGAAAGGGGAATGATGTGAGGTATTGGGGGGAGGGATAGCTCAGTGGTTTGAGCATTGGCCTGCTAAACCCAGGGTTGTGAATTCAATCCTTGAGGGGGCTGCTTAGGGATCTGGGGCAAAATGAGTACTTGGTCCTGCTAGTGAAGGCAGGGGGCTGGACTCGATGACCTTTCAGGGTCCCTTCCAGTTCTATGAGATAGGT